TAAGGTTAAGCACAACCCAGTGGCAATGCTCTACATCTGGATGGAGGGGATGGCTATATGGTATGTGCATTTGTCAAAACTCATCCCATTGTGCCTTAAGATTTGTGTATTTTGCTGTATGCACGGTTTACCTCAAAAGGTAAAATACACCCGACCCCTTCTCTTTCCCCAAAACTACATTCTGGAATGTATTAATAGTAGTCTCTACTATCCCCCCGGAATGTTCTTAGTTTACCTCATAAGTTCCTACTCAACCTTAGGATCTGAGCTCAAAATCACTCGCTCACTTCCCTGATCTCCAGGTTAGGTCTGGCCCCTGGTACAGGCCTTTTGCCTCGTCTTTGTAGCACATACTGCAGCTCGCTCAGTGCTTATTTGTATGGTTTTTTTGACAATCTATCTTCCAGCTCACCCCCAGTGCTAGATACCAGAAGGTGCTCAATATAGACATGCTGAATACATGAGTGAGTGAATGAATGAATGAGTGAGTGAATGAATGAATGAGTGAGTGAACGAATGAATGCGTGAATGAATGAGTGAGTGAATGAGTGAGTGAGTGAATGAGTGAATGAATGAGTGAATGAATGAATGAGTTGGCTCTAGGCACTTTACAGACATTATCGCTAACTCTCACAACACTTTTTCGAGGTTAGTATTATTATACACCATTTTACACACGAGGAAACTAACAGAGAGGTCGAGTAGCTTCCCTAAGGTCACCTAGCCAGGGAATATTGGCCTGGAAATTCAAGCTGACTCCCAATTCTTTTAACTAAGTCGTGTTGCATGAAAGGTGCTTAGTCTTCCCAACGTCCGGGTGAAAACGAACTCCATGATCCAAGTCCACGAGCTCCCCTGGGCTCCTTGGGGACCAAATGCCACACAGTATTCTAGAGGAGGCCAGCTCCGGCCCTGCTTGTCCACACCTTCCCGGTGGCCTTGCTGTCCCACTTGGAGGCATCATTCACTGGCTTCTGTCACCATAGGCAGAAGCCCGGCTTGGGGTTTATAAATGTGAGGTTATGTATGGACCCCGAGATCTGAGAGTGTCTCTGCACTGGGAACTTGAGCTGAGCAGCAACGTTGCTTTGTCTCTTTCCAAGTCCATCAGGGCTTTTTCACTCGGCTTCTCTGGACTCCAGATGCTCTGCAAGCCCCCTGCTCTGTCTGGCTCTGCCAGGAGGAGTTGACAGAGAAGGGGAACCCTGGTGTCAAGCCCCTTTAATGTCAACGAAGGCCTGGTGTGGACAGGGACACAGGGAAATGGGGCCTCTGAGTCAGACAGACATTTCCTAATCAGACTCTGGGCCAGGGCTCTCCTAGGGTGTGTGCATGTGTGCGCACACGTGTGTGCATGCCCGTGCATGTGTGTGTGCGTGTGTGTGTTTGCACGCGCGTGTGTGTCGCAGTCGGTGGGAGGGTCAGACACATGCAGAATGTAAGAGGCCAGGATCTAAAGCCAGAGAAACCCAGGGCAGTCCCCGCCCCCAAGTTCCCAACTTGTGATCTAAACAGTGCCACTCAAAGTGTGATCAGAGGCGGGTGCCAAGTCCAGGAACTGTATGTCCCCGGTCCCTGACAAGATAAGGAGCTGCGGCCATAATGTAAATCGCCCTCCTCATCAATCACATTGTTTAGTTCAGCTGGCAGTATTTTGCAGCAAGTCTCTCTCTGTACAGGAAGCGGTGCGCGTTTACATTCCGGCTCAAGCCTCTTGTCCAGAACTGTAAGGAAGGGTTCGTGGATTGCAACTTTGAGTAGCTCTGCTCGACATGACCCTTCCCAGCTTTAATGTGCTTGCCGGTCACCGGGATTTTGTCAAAATGCAGATTCTGGGGTGGCACTGGGGACACTGTATTTTTAGCAAGCTTCCGGTGGTGCCTAGGCTCCTGGTTCATGCAGCACACACTGAGCAGCAAAGACTGGGCATCTTCCATTCAACAAACATTTGTTTCCTTTTCATAATTGAAAGCAGACTGTGATTAGAGCTATAATGCACAGAAATATACACTGAGGACTTCATTTTTGGAAAAAAAGCGTGCATGGCTAAATGATTTGGAAGACATTCTAAAAACAAGAAGTCGGATTTAATGTGTTATACTTGGTTTGCTTGTCTACATTTTCTGATTTTCTATAGTAAACATGTATGAAGTTTAAAAATACGCAATGGAAAATTCTAGCGGATGGAAAGAGGCAATGCAAGGGCAGCTGCTTTTAATTATGAACCCTTTGCTACTATTTAAAGTTGAAGTTACACATGTGTTACTTTGGCAAAAAAAACACAATGCAAGCTTTCTACTTTTTTCTACTTTGATAAAAAAAGTTAAATATATATATAGATATACATGTATCTACCTATCATCTATCATCTAATCTATCTATCTATCTATCTATCTATCTATCTATCTATCTATCTATCATCTATGGAAAATAGAAGAGGAAGTAGAGGGGAATGGACATTATTCGCTCTTGCGTGAGCCAGATACACTACAGCAGGTGCTCTGTTCCTCACTACAATGCCCATTGTGCAGATGAGAAAACCGAGGCCCAGAAAGATGAACTAACTTGCCCTTGAGTCACACACTGGTAAGGGCAGGGCTGGGATTTGAACCCAGGCCTCATGCACTGTTGATTCTGTACCTCACTCCTGAAAGACTCTCCTGGGCATCCCTACCAAGAACACTCCAGGGGTAAGGACACAGACAGGCTTCGATGGAAATATGTAGAACCTGTAGGAAACAGCAAAGCCAACGGTGGGGAGGCTGGGGGGTTGAGGGGCTCAGAGGAGGCTTGTGGGGAAGGGGGCATGAGTTGGGCATTGAAGAATGGAAAGGGCTTGGATGGGCAGAGGCGAGCTGGGAGCGGTGGGCTGGGCTGAGGACAGAGAAGAGCATGGCGGGAGGTGGGCATGTGCGTGGCTCAGTCATAACCCTAGTGCCTGCGGCAGGACAGGCTGGGGGAAGCGGCCAGGGGACTCGACTCTAGAGGGGGCCGAAAGGCCAGGGGAAGTGAGTGGGGAGACACCGAAGGTGTTGGGGCAAAGCTAGCTATGATCCATGTTGTGGTCTCACATGCATAACAGCCGGAGCACATTTTCTCACCTGGAGATTCCTCCTTTTTTAAATAGTGGTGAAGCTTTGTGGGATTTTTAAATTTTGGCTTGGTTTGTTTTAGTCCTCAAATGAAATCCTGTGAGGTATATGGCAGCCTAGAGCTCTGCCCGCCCCCGCTCCCACTTCAGACTCTTGGATCTCCATAGCCAGCAAAGCCACTGTCACTTCCAATGCCCTAGAATATTTGTCTAGCATCTTCATTTTACTGAAGAGAGGAGAGGTAAATGAAGTCAGGCCCCAAGTCACACAGCCAGTAATTGACAGAAGCAGGATGAGACCCCAGGTCTCCTGACTGCAAAAGGCACCCGCAACCCCCACCACCGAATAGAAAGCAAACCAAACACTTCTCAGGCCAGGGACGGGGGAAGAGGGCTGCACGCTGACGAAGGGCCCTGCACTCACGGCTCAGTCCTGCTGAGCGTGTGTGTCTGAGCGAGTCTGAAAGCTGATGAGGGTTGGGAAGAGGGGACACCCCAAATTATACACCACACACTTGGGTCTCCAGCTCCACGATGACTATTCTAAGGGGCTGTGTGTGTGTGAGTCTGACAAGACATTGTTCTTGTTCCTCATTTCATCCAGGTGGCCCAGGAAACAGTGGCCAAACCCAGGTCAAGCTTCACTGAGTTTCAGAGAATTCAACCTTTCTAAGGGGAAGGAGGATGACTGGCAGAGCAAGTGCACTCAGATGATCGAGGCTTTGTTCCAGGGCAGTGCGGCTGGGCCGCACCTGCGCTGGGGGCGGAGGCAGGTGATGGAGCAGCTCCCACCTGGCTGACATCTGCAGCCTTTTCAGATCCTCCACAGAGAGTCGACGTGCTCATTCTGGGTCTCTCTCCTTCCTAAGTATTACTTATTATAAAACGGAGTGGGAATCTCATGCATTGTCCCCTCTGGAACCCAAGGGTCCTTGCTGACTGAGCTTCCAGCCACTCTTTGTCCTCGGAAGATGTTTTCACTTAGTTGTAGTAACAACACGAACAGAACCTTGTACTCATTTTGCTTAAAATTATATTATAAACATTTTTGTACGTTGCCAGGCAACCTTCATAACATTATTTTAATTGTTGCATCAAATCTCACCACACAGTTAAACACTGACAGTAGCTGCGTTTTTTCACTATGATTGAGGTTACTGTAATAAACTCTTGGTATATCACTGTTTTTATTTCCGATATATTCTCTTACGATAAAACCCTAGGAATCTGTTTTTTAAGGTAAGTTTGGTTTGGTAATTCATTTCACATGAAACCTTAGAGAATCCCCAAATGGACAAAGCATACGAATGGGTAGTTCACATACATTATCAGCAAGTAAGAGAGAAAACATCCAGTCCCGTTGAAGCCACAGGTGCTATCGCTCAGCCATTAAACTAACAAAAATATAAAAGACCGTTTACGGTGAGGTACTGGCGAGATTGCTATGAACTTTTGGGAAGCAATTTGGCAAAAGTTTTAAGAGCTGTTCAAGTGTT